GTAAGACATGCGTGACAATACAAGCTTGAAACACAGCTTTACAATTGTCTTCGGAAGTATGGCAACTCATCTCAAAGGACAAACATCTATGTCAAATCCCCACGGCCAGCCTGGCAGTGCACCTTGGTTCACAAGTACACGCCGATAGCGGACCGAGCGGGAAGATCGAATCACCCACCCTCTGATCACGCATTAGGATTCAACTAGAATTAAATAACTAAAATAGAATTCAGTTCCCAATAGCGATGGCCTCCGACCTAAGAGCGATGGCCTCCAACCTAGAAGCGATGGCCTCTACCCTCTGATGACGCCACAAGAGCTTCAGCAGCGTCTCTGCGATGCAGCTGGGCTTCATTAGACTTTGCAAGGACCCCAAGAATCCCGTGGGCTGGTCATCAGCTGATGCAGCATGCTCCGTCTGCTCCTGAATTCGACAAAAGCAAACGTTAGGATCCGTTAGGCCATTGGAGCGTGGATTCTGCATTGCTATCAGGTTGGAGGCTATTCGGTTCCTTTGCATCCTTTAGTAACTTTAGTTACTAGTTGGAGGCCATCGCTCTTAGGTTGGTGATTTTTGTGAACTTTGCCTGTCCCAGCTGTCGGGCAATTTGTGCTTGCAATTTCTGTCGCCTAAGTGAGCGGACAAAGTTTTACATTCGCGAAGCAAGAAAACCGCGGGTTTCAAGGATTTAGCAAGAAAAAAGGAAAACCTCACCCCTTTCACACGTTTGCTTTGATCACATCTTTCTTGGGCTTCTTTGCTCTTTGCCACCCAAGTAACTCTGCTTGCCAGTCCGCAGCTTCGGCAGCAGCTGTACGCTTCATGGTGTCAAGCTCACTCCGCAGCCTGTGTTTGAGAACACTCGGCCTGAGAAATTTTCTAAGTTAATTAAAAAACATATGTGGCTCAGCCAAAACACAGCCAAAACAGGTTTTCTAAGGTATACACAGCCAAAACACATGTGGCTCCCGAATGCGCAGCGAAGGGTTCTCGTTTAACTCCGGGGGTCTGGGGGTAGAGTCTTGTTCGCGACTCGTTGTCGTAGCGTTCGCAACCATTGTCAACTGTCCGCAACCGTTCGCAGTAGGGCACTACAGCGCTGACATTGGGGGAAACTGTTGGAGAGGGTTTTGGATGGAAGCATGACGTGCCAGATTCATGTGAAGCGAGAAATGCAACATGTTGAAGTACTGGTGAAGTGTGGAGGATGATTTCACTGCGCAGGCGCAGCGTTTTGTGAAATCCCAGTGTTCTTCGCAGTCAGATTGGGATTGGCGTTTAGAGGGTGGTGCTTTTGGTGTTGGATGTGGCTGTGATTTGCGTTTCAGACTATTGCTTCGAGGCTGTGTTTCCGTGACAAGTCTCAGCTGAAATTGCGATTTTGGTGGATGGGAGTGTGCTAGGAACGTGTCGAGGTCATTCCAAACTTGTGGCGTGGTGCAAATTTTGCTGAAGACATCACTACTACCTTACCTCCCGGGGGGGGTCAAAAATGTAACTTACAATTTTGGGTGTGTCAAAATGCAGGTTTTGGAAGACGGTGATGTTTGAACATACAGCTCTAAAACGCACAAAAATACCTCCATCTGACAAGACAGGGGTCAAAATTGTAAGTTACATTTTTGACCCTCATGTGTGTTTGTTGAGCCTGTACGCGCTCAAGAACTGTAAGTTATATTTTTTGAGGGTCAGGTGGACGCACGCCGCCTGACCCTCAAAATTGTAACTTACAATTTCCCATCTGACCTGAGTCGAAGTCGCGAAAGCAAAGCCGACACAGGGGCAAATTGTAACTTGCTCTGTGGGGCACCTGCCCATCCATTCTTACTATTTTGACACCCCCCCGCCCCCTGCTTTCAAAGTCTCAAGAAGTAGGCCAAGACCTCTTTGAGGCGGGGGCTAAACAAGTAAGATCCTCGTCTAGGCCACATCAACCTACTTAGATCTAACAAGTTTCACACCCCCTCCCCCTTTGGCTATATAATGCTATGATCGCAAAATCAATTATAGGACCGGATAACCCCACATGTTAGCAACTTAGCAAGAGAGAATGTCTGCGTTGGTGGTTGGTGACAATTGGTGGGTGGCAATTGGTTGGTGTGACAATTGATTCATGACAATTGGTTGAGGACCATGTTTTTTTGAAAAACACGCCCTCAAAAATAACCCTTTCAGAAGGGCAAAGACCCACCAGCACCGGCCAGCACCAGCCAGTGGGGTTATCTGATAATTGGTGTGTTGTTGTTGTTGTTGTTGTTGTGGTTGTGGTCGTCGTCGTCATCGTCGTCGTCGTCGTCGTCGTCATCGTCGTCGTGGTCGTCGTGGTGGTGGTGGTGGTTGTTGTTGGTGTTGTTGTTGGTGTTGGTGTTGGTGTTGTCGCTGTCGTTGTTGTCGTTGTTGTTGTTGGCCCATCTTGGGCCCACGTTGGCCTAGCTTGGCCTATGTTGGGCCAGATTGGGCCCATGTTGGCCCATCTTGGCCCTATGTTGTGCCCTGTGGAGGGCCCCTCTTGGGCCTATGTTGGGCCATCTTGGGGCTATGTTAAGCCATCTTGGACCTATCTTGGGAGCCTCTGTTGGGTCATCTTGGGGTACATGTTGCGCGATTTGTGCTGACACGGGCCCATCACCCAAAAATTCCGATTACGCACGTCCGCGCGGCGCGCATTACCGACACCACCCTTGTAAAACCCAGGGTTTTTGCATTTCGCCACTGTCCACAAAACCCTGTAAAACACAGTGTTTTTGAACACCACGCGCGCAAATCACAGCGGCGCAGCGGCGGAGACCCAGCAGCCCCAGCCAGCGCCAGGGCGTACATCCGACCCTGGAGAAGACAATTAGCAAGCAAATCATTGGCGAATTGGTTGATGACAATCGGTTGGTGACAAGCGAGAGGCGGGAGGAGGCGGAGGCACGAGCGGATACCACACTAAAGACAAACACCCCACACGTCAATGGGAAAACCTGTAAGTTACAAATCTGACCCCCCTGGGGTCAGGCACCGCAAGGGGGTAGTGATCTGAAGACATGAACATGATTAAACAGGTAATGTCATCACCTTTCGTGGCAGGCGCAGTGCTTTGTGCGTGTTAGAAGTGTCGAAGCTATATTTTCGTGGCAGGCGCCAGGAATCGTGAGGTTTAATGATTGGTGGAGTTGAGTGTCGCTGGGACATTGGGATTCGCGTGTCTGCGGTTGTGGTTTTGAGGGGCTGGGATTGCGAAACTGCTTGGCAGGGCTGCAGAATGAGTTGTCTCTGATGAGACTTCGCGCTTCATGTTTGAAGGAAGTCTCGAACAAAACGCTCGTTTTGCCGACTTGACGCATGGGTTTTGGAGGAGGTCTCGAACGAAACGCTCGTTTTGCAGACTTGACCTGTGACTATTGGAGCAAGTCTTGTAAGAAATGCTTGCTTTGGAGATGTCCCACAAGAGTGTCCGACAAGAGTGCCCCGAAAAAGAGTGTCCCACGGAGTGACGAAAGTGTCGCACGAGAGTGTCCCACAAGAGCATTCTAGAACAGTCTCTCCTACAAGAGTGGAAAAACAAATGTTTGGGCGTGTGTGCATTCCGGTTCGTGGGTTCCAACTTGTTTCTTTAAATAAACTCAAATGCTTTGAGGTCAATGATATGCAGCACACTGCGGCTGAGAAGCTGGTCCCGCTCAAGCTGGCTGGTGCGAAGGCGCTCCTCAAAATGTCCTTACTGCAAGTTGGCCTCCAACCCAATAGCGTCCTTGTTCCTAGTAGCTTCTTGTTTCTAGTAGTAATGCCAGGAGCTACTAGTAGCTTCTTGGTGTTACTATATTAGACCTTTCGTCCTTTTCATTCTTCTTTGTTTCTAATAGCGAGCGCCTCCAACCTAATAGCGATGGCCTCAATAAACTACTAACTAGACAATCACAGGAACAAAGGAGGAGACCAGTAAAGTAGACACTGACAAACGCACAGACTGACGTTTTAATGACGTATTCGAGATCGCAATCTTTTCTTGGCTAGCAGTTAATCATGTTGGTTGAAACAATATCGTCCCAAGCATTGGTGCTTGGTCACCAACAAAGCTTCGCAACATTCCCTTGAGCCCAGAAACTCTCACGCTCAGCAAGCTGTTTCTGCAGGTCTTCGTGCTGTTTTCGAATTGCTGACTCCTCCAACCTTCAGGGTACAAAAACAGTAAAGAGTCCATAATATATATGTATATATATATAAACAACAACATTTATCGCGAGTGTTGGTGATGTTCGTCCGTTGAGAAATGAATTTCCACCTTGACCGCTCAAGGTCCTTCTGCAGCTCATCTTTGGCTGCTTCTGCTGCGTGCAACTCCTTTGTTCAGGAGGCAAAACAGTTCGACAGATCCTTTTAGGTTTCTTGAGCCGTTGCCCAATTCTCCTACAATCATTCAACCAAATACTACCAAATTAAAACGAGCTTCTGCTAGCTGCTTCTGCAAGTCTTCAATCCGTGCCTTTGCCGCCACTTCGACTCTCCTTGGCTATCGCCAAGTCCGAGAATTTTTTTAGCCCAACCAACCAATTACCATGCAAGCATGGCATGGCGCAAGAAAGGAGCTTGCTTGCTGCTCCAAAAAAAGGACATGCAGTTAAAGACATGCAGTTTCCGAGAAGCACAATCTAATTGCAGAAGCGTGGCTCTGTCTGAAGCTGGATGTCCTAGCAGCTCACACTTCCCCAATCAAGTGTAGTCTCTGCCAGGCGGTTAGAAAAACATCGTTGATGAAGTACATATTTGTGCAATCTATTTGATGGTGAGGTATTATAATCTTGTGAGTGTATGCTTTCTGTCATTAGGTGCGATTCAAGTGAGAAAGTACAAATATTGGCACAGCGCTTTTGCATGTTAGTGGAGTACTGTTTTGGAAGGAAACTTAGACCGTTTATCCAAACTCAACCTACTAGTTGATCCTCAAATATCAATGCGTGCAACACCATGTCGTTTCTGCAACGCAAAACAAGTGGCCCAACACCTGGACATGTCATTACTTAATGTGGTTGTGTAAACTTTGCAAATGTAATGTTTCTTTGCCCTTGCAACGAACTTCACTGACTGCTTCCCTTTTCTGCTGTCGCACCTTCTCCATTTCTGTCTGCTCTTTTCGACGCCTTTCCAGCTCCTGTGGACCAAAGGGCAAACGTATCCAATGTCCATAGCCCAAACACGCAACGCCCGCAAAGCCGCAAAGCCTGCCAGCCACCCCGGCCTCTGTCAGCTTTGCATTGTCGTCTTGAAGCTTTCCTTGCTCCACACATGACGCAGGGCTGACGTCTTGGTTTTCCCTACAAGTTGATCGATTGCCCAGTGGTGAATTTGCGCTGAAAACAAAGATCAAACCATTAAAATAAAAGCATATAGTTCACGATTCGCACAATAAAGCCTCCAAATCCAACAAGAAATGCTTTAGGATGCTTTAGGTTTTGATACATTTCGGCCCAAACGCAGGCGCCTGCCAACCAAGTAGCTCTCACGCTCTGCAAGTTGTTTCTGCATGTCCTCGTGCATTTGTCGGGTTGTTGACTCCTCCAACCTTCAGGGCTTCAAAGCAAACTGGGAAAGGAGGAACAAGAAGAAAAACCACAGGCGACGACACACACCGCAAACTCATGCCCATGAGAATCCCCAAGGGCCGTCGAGAAACCACCAGTGATTAAAAGAGTGCAAAAGGGTGGATTCCAAAGGCCGCGTAGCAAACACTCGATTTACGTCAGCATTGCAAGCACTGGGTAGAAAGTTCCTTCCTTATCTTCCCTTCCTTGACCCCGTATCGTCTCGTACAATGACATCAAGAAGTTTGTGGCTCTGATGAACGACGAGCGCTCAGTTGATGCGAGAACACCGGCAAGGAATCCATGCCAAGCTGTCGACGCACGACCAGCATTGAAATCGCCCTGACCAAAGCTGCGTGTTTTCTGGCAGAGCTGTGCAGGAAAAAACAGACTGCAGTACTGAAAGCCCTTTGACGGTGCAGGGACTTCTGGCATTTGTCTCCAAACAATTTACGGCTTCAGAAAAAAGACCTTGGCCGCAGTCTGTTGTCCTTTTGTTGTCCAGTTTACGCCGTGCAGCCTGCGTCCTTCTCTTGTCCTGGCGCCGCTCCTGTTGTCGTGGCCGCGCTGGACCGCCTCGTCCGGGCCTTGTGGCCTGGACCGCTTAAGCCCTGCGGTGTCCTTGTCCTTGTCCTCTGGCCGCGCTGCCTTGTCCAGCGCTTGTCCGGGTCTGTGTGTGCTACCACGCCGCTTTCCCTTTTTCCAGAATGTTTTTTGGGCTACGGCTATGAACAACAGTGATGCAGAGTTGATATATCATCCTCGAGTTTTCTCATGATGTTTATCCCTTCGTGTTTGCACATGTGATGCCGAGACCGAGAATCAGGAACTATTGTGTTCGAACAAGCTGTTTACATGCCATTCCCAATACAGTCAGACATTACCAGCAACATTGCAATTCAAGGAGTTGACGCCAAAACGATAATGCTGAAACTGTTTGAGGTCTATTCTGGCATAATTTGAGGGGAAAGCTTGCTGGTTCAACAAACTTCTCAGCATGTCTGATGCAACATAAAACCTGCATATGAAAGCCATACAAACCACTGAGGACCCAACGCACATGGATATTGGAGATGTCGACAACAGAACCCAAACATACAACTTTGAAGTGCACTTCAGTGTCTAACAGTGTAAGGCTTGCAACAGCCAAACTGTGGAATAGGATTGCACGACTGTGTATCGTGGAGTTTGTGATGCCCACCTTGACCGATCAAGGTCCTTCTGCAGCTCATCTTTGGCTGCTTCTGCTGCGTGCAACTCCTTTGTTCAGGAGGCCAAACAGTTCGACAGATTCCTTTTAGGCTTGCCCAATTCTCCTACAATCATTCAACCAAATTAAAACGAGCTTCTGCTAGCTGCTTCTGCAAGTCTTCAATCCGTGCCTTTGCCGCCACTTCGACTCTCCTTGGCTAGCGCCAAGTCCGAGAATTTGTTTAGCCCAACCAACCAATTACCATGCAAGCATGGTATGGCGCAAGAAAGGAGCTTGCTTGCTGCTCCAAAAAGACATGCAGTTAAAGACATGCAGTTTCCAAGAAGCACAATCTAATTGCAGAAGCGTGGCTCTGTCTGAAGCTGGATATCCTAGCAGCTCACACTTCCCCAATCAAGTGTAGTCTCTGCCATGCGGTTAGAAAAACATGTTTGATCATATAAATGATTGGCAATCTATTTGCTGGTGAGGTACTATAATCTTGTGAGTGTATGCTTTCTGTCATTAGGTGCGATTCGAGTGAGAAAGTACAAATATTGGCACAGCGCTTTTGCATGCTAGTGGAGTACTGTTTTGAAAGCAAACTTAGACAGTTTATCCAAACTGAACCTACTAGTTGATCCTCAAATATCAATGCGTGCAACACCATGTCGTTTCTGCAACGCAAAACAAGTGGCCCAACACCTGGACATGTCATTACTTAATGTGGTTGTGTAAACTTTGCAAATGTCATGTTTCTTTGCCCTTGCAACGAACTTCACTGACTGCTTCCCTTTTCTGCTGTCGCACCTTCTCCATTTCTGTCTGCTCTTTTCGACGCCTTTCCAGCTCCTGTGGACCAAAGGGCAAACGTATCCAATGTCCATAGCCCAAACACGCAACGCCCGCAAAGCCTGCCAGCCACCCCGGCCTCTGTCAGCTTCGCATTGTCGTCTTGAAGGTCTTTAACTAGTTGTTCCACCTTCCTAAGCATAAGTCTGGAATAAAAAACACCATTTGCACCATAAGCTTAATACACATACACACGCTTGAGTGTTTGTTGTTTAAATGGAAACCATGTTTGCCGAGCAAAAGCGTCTCTCGCTTGAAGACCTCCTCATCTCTGGCCGTGCAAGCATGAAGCCTCAGACCAAGAGCCGAACTTGCCAAGGCCACGCCAACAGCGTCAGAAGAAAGCCAGAATTCTGGCAAAGCAGAAAGCATGACAGGGAGTATCCTGCATGTGTTTTTCTCTTTTTAAATATATATATATACATACATACACACATGAATGAGATGCAACTTGATGCAACCTGCAAAAGGAAATGCCAAGGTGCAGGATGTCTTGGATCTGGTCATGACTGTAGACCATCCAAGGATCATCTCCCATCCCTTTGAAGTCAGGGAAAATGCCGAGGCTGCAGTCCTGGCTTGATTGAGAAGACTTCGCAACACCAATCAAGCCTCCGCAGGGTGGTTAGTTCCTAGGTGAAGTCTGTGCAAAGCATACTGGTCGGCGAAAAGAGCCAGGCAAAAACATTTCAAGAACACAAAGCATACTAGTTGGTGAAAGCAAAGCATTTTGTGGCTTCGTGCAACCCTCACGTGCGCCATCTCCTGATAGACTTGGCCTCGGCGCGGAACTCGTTTGCAAACATGTCTTGCACCGGCAGACATGGCAGGCCTCATGGCCTGCCCATTATGCAACTGAGCGCCTGGCGCATGTAGGTCAGGCCTCGACTCCACTAAACAAGACTCAGTTCATCGCAGACTTCTGTCTTAAGAAGCATGGTTGCATCCCTGTTTTGGTTTTAAACAAACAACTCCTCTCGTGTCGTCAATGACCATGAAGATTCTGTCGGACGAGGCGCGACTTTTGAAGTCGTCAATGTCATAGAAGAACAATGCTTCCCACACACCATCCTGATGGATTAAGTGCCAGCTTCGTAAAAGGATCAATGTGAGCGTTGCAACTTTACTTTCCAGGTGTTTTCCCTATGATGTTTGACTAAAACATGCCAACTGTGTCTTCAATTCAAGAAGAAAGAAGAAGAAAAAGAAAAAGGAAAGAAGAAGAAGAAGAAGAGGTAGTAGTAGTCGTAGTCGTAGTGGTAGCGGTAGCGGCAGCGGCAGCGGCAGCAGCAGCAGTAGTAGCTGCTGTTGTTTTCGTATGAGTTCTTCACCTGTTCTTCACTAGTCCTAGTAACTAGGAAGAGTAGCGCGTGCACTGGTGCACTACATTCTTCTACCTGTCCCGTTACCATAAGCTATCCTGCCTTGCCCCCTCCCTCCTACACTTCCCTTCATGGCCTATTCCCTCCAAAATGTTAAAGACCATTTTGTACAAAAAGAAGCTAGTAGAAACAAGTGCCACGCTAGTAGTAACAGGTGCCTT